AGCAGTACAGTTAGAATCAAAGAAATATGTTAAACTGGATCAAGATGGTAACAATATACAATGCTTGCTATGTAACGTCGGAATCAAAGTCAGAAAGGGAAGATTTTTTACTACCCATGAGTACAATCAACATTGTAAATTCATTTCACACAAAGTATCCGTTCGTAAAGAAAATGAAACTGGGCTTTTTCAAACTAATATACATCAGTTTTTTCCTAACAAATCAAATTTTAGGATAAGATTCCTTTTTCCGATCATTTCATAAACTTTACAAAGAAAATCCTAAACAAAATGGAACTCTACTACATGCAAGGCAGTCTTGTCTAATTTCAAAAGCAAGTGGTGTAAGACAAATGAAAAATTTCAAATTGTGATGTTAGATTTTTTTTCAATGCTTCGAACATTTGGTAAATGTGTTTATAGATTTGTTGCTGCGAATCTCCCTAGTGTTTCCTTGAGACATATACAACGCGTCACTGCAAAAACATCAAATAGTTTTATTCTTGATGTTTCTTTAGATGGCCTTAACAAAAGATTAGATAAAATTTATGAAATAATGCCTGGTACCAATAAACTATTTGTGTCTGTATCTATGGATGCTACCAAAATAATTCCAGCCTTTTTAACTTGTGTAAAGTTTAATTGTATTGTGGGAAAGATTGCGCCAAATCATATACTAAAAATAAATGATGAAACACTTAATGGTATTGACAGTGTAATAGATCTAGCAACAGAAGTTAAAGCAGTTGTTATAATGATTCACAACTGTCCCGAAAGAACAACACCAATGAAACTTCTATGTATTCATCCCCAAAAGTTCAAATGAAAGTAATCGTACATTCAATAATCACATTTATGATGTTTTAACAAGACACACAAATTTCGATGTTGTTTCATTTTGCACAGATAGTGTATCATACGAAAGTAAATGAATAACAAAGATTTTATTATAATTTCTTGATGAATAAACAAATGAAGTTGCTTTTATAGTTGATAATCATGTTGCGAAAGCCGTAAGAAATCAAATTTTGTCTGGGACTGAATTAAAAACAATTGGATCGTATCTGATTCAACCTGGAATATTTGCACATGCAAGTTTAAATATATCTAGAGATTTATATGCAGTTAAAAACTTTGCATCTGATGCCTTAGTGTTAGGAATTTGTGATCCTAAATTAATAAAAAAGATAATAAAAGCAGATTATAACAGTCATGCGATTTCAAAGCAATCACAGTACATACTTTCTTTAACGTTAGTATTTCTCAGAAATTTTTTTCTTATTTCAACAAATGCTGACGATATTGATTTTCAATTAAAAATTGCCTTTTAAATAGTGCGCAATGATTTGGTTTTTATTAATTGAAGATATTCACTTTATAACTTTAAAGAACATTGTTGCAAATGCAATAGGGTCTATCTTTTTGTACCCACAGGAGCGAATTAATTGCCCTAGATATTGTACTAGAACCTTGTGAGCATTATTTTGGTTGTACTAGGCAGTTTGAAAGAGAATTCACAATTCGTGGTTTTATTCAGTATGATGATAGAATAAATTTTTTTCATCTGGTTTTAGATCTGCATTAAACACTCGAGGGAATTCGTCAAAAGGTTATGCCAGTACTTTAACTGGCTTTGTTGCATCTGTAACTGCAATTCTAGAAAAACAAAAAACAAAGAAAAAAGAAGTTATCCCTACATTGAATTTATCACCTAATCAAGAAAATGTTTTATTTGACCTTTTTTGTCATCAATCATTTGCTAGTAAACTAACCTAAATAGTTTTTCCAACAATTAATGAGTTTTCAAATCAAATGAGTGTTTTGCTTAATACATGTGGAATTTAAAAAACTTTGACTAAAAAATTTAGTTCTCTTTCAGATTTAAAGAGTTTCTACACTTCCGTTTCTTCTTCCTTTATAGAGAATAAAAGTAGTCTGATATAAGTAAACATTAATCCCAACTTGGATAAGGCTTTAAATGCTGATAGTGGCTATGACACTGATGTTCAAGAAAAATTGATTGAAATAATAATAGTTTACAAGAAGCAATTTTAGAAATTGAAGTAATTCATAATGAACCAGAGATAAACAATGTCGATGAGGTGTTGGTTGAGATTAACCAAAGCAACATTTCTTTTCAGAAAATGTTTACTCAAATATCCCTTAAAGACATTTGTGAAGAAGGGTTGGCTTCTATTTCTGAGCAAGCTCATGTATCGTTTAATAATCACCAAAAATCTAAATTGTTATTACAACGTTGGTATAGACCGAATTTAAAAAATAAGTCTAGCATTGAAAAATTTAATGTAAAAATAGGGAGTCTTTTTCAAGCAGAACTGAAAACATGGGTTGTCATGAGTATTTTTCGAAAAGCATGCAACAAATGGAGACCAACAGAAAGTTGTGAAGTTCCTGTTGATAAAAAAGGCTTAGTTTTGATACATTTTACTTTAGCAGAATATGGAGCCTTAACCGGTAGCTATATGCTACCATATCAAAATGTCGAAAACGAAGAGATAAAGGACAATCAAAAAAAGTATTTATGAAAATTGATTGCTATGAAATAACTGAATGGCTTGCTGCTGATTAAACTTTTATTAGAATTAACTTTTGAAGTTTCCTTTTGGTTTATTTTAAAACTGTATTTGGTACTCTATTTATAATTTTGCATTGTTTTGTGTATATATTTATTTCATAACTATGTATCAAAGATAAATAATTTTTTTTTAGAATGTTAAGTGGAAAGACGCAGTTCCCCACTGTACTGACCTATATATATATATATATATATATATATATATATATATATATATATATATATATATATATATATATATATATATATATATATATATATATATATATATATATATATATATTATATATATATATATATATATATATATATATATATATATATATATATATATATATATAAGGGTGTTCCAAAAAGCAATATTAAAAAAAAATCTGCTCCTACCCTCTAAATGTGTTCTATATAAGAGGCCATCCATAAAGGATGTACGCAGGACGTACGCAGGTATGGGGAAGGGGATTTCCCAAAAGCGTACAAGCAAGTACAAGGGAGGGGGGTGTTAAAGACAGTGAGTACGTACGCGGTTTGACTATCTCTCCTAAACAGGATTTTATTTTTTTTTAAACATTGAATTTTACGTGTGTAACAAATCACAATAGTGTTTTTTTTTCTGACCAGTTTTTTTTTTCTAGCTTCAGAAGAAAAAAAAAACGAGTTAATTTTGAAAAAAAACGTGATTTTGAAAAAAAACGTAATTTAAAAAAAAAATGCGTACGTACGCGGAGAGGGGGGTCTTTGAAAGCGTACAGGTTTGTAAAAGAGAGAGGGGGTCCTAAATCAGTGATTTTACTGCGTACGTACTTTATGGATGCCCCCTAACACAAAAACACTAGGTTTAAAATTTTTTGCTGAAACCTTGCTTTGAAAAATGGACCTCTACTCAAAATAGGTTGCCGACCATTAGTTAGACCTAATGTTGCGTCTAACCTATCGTTGCGTCTGTTACACAAGTTTGAAGTTTTAAAGGCTATAACTGAATATTTAGTATTCTTCTAACAATATCTCCAAAAATATCTTCTAGAACAAAAGCTTTCCAAAATAAAAACTCTAAAAAGACCTATAATCTTATAAACTTATTGTTAACAATATAATATAAATGTTAACACTATAAAAAGCTTTTAATTTTTTTTAACTTTAAAAAACTTTATAACTTTAAACTGACTGTTAACAATATTAACTTAAATGTATACGGGCAAATCCGATTTTAATTATGGCATGTTAACAAAAAGGTTATTAAGAATAAAACCTTTTTTAAAACTTTTTTTCTTTTTTTTTTTCTTTATGAAATTATTTAAAATCTAATATATATTTTCCAGTATTCTTAGCTTCTTATTAAATGTTCTTAGCTTCTTATTAAATCCAGCTTCTAACACTGTAAAAAAACTAACGCCAAAATAACAAAAAAAATATAACGTCAGAGTTGAGCGAATATAACGTTAGTTAACCGTTATATTTGGCGTTATATTTATTATACTAATCGTATTTCTACAAACATAATATAAAATTTTTTTAATGTTTGGAAATAATAATTATATATATATATATATATATATATATATATATATATATATAATGATTATTTAAAATAATTTTGAAAAGATATATAATTACCGTACGCCTCAATTTTTTCATTGCGCCTCTAGACCTTCTTTGCGGTCGTGCGGGTCTTTAAAAAAACTCCGAAGGTCTTCCGTTTTCGCTATGCGGTCGTGCGGGTCTATATGTAAGCACAGAAAGCCTTTAGATACCCTTACGCATATAGATGTCACCCCTCCTATATATAACAATGATTAGGCGAAATCATTGTTATATATATCAATTAAATTAATTTATCGAATACCATCCTGTAACTTTTTTTTTTCCACTTCGAGCACTGTATATATATATATATATATATATATATATATATATATGTATATATATATATATATATATATATATATATATATATATATATATATATATATATATATATATATATATATATATATATATATATATATATATATATATATATATATATATATATATATATATATATATATATATATATATATATATATATATATATATATATATATATATATATATATATATATGTATATATATATGTATATATATATATATATATATGTATATGTATATATATATATGAAATCATACTTATGGCTTTATTTTCACGGTTTCGTGAAAATGAAGCCATAAATAGAAGATATTCGGCTAGTACTGTGTTAAGTACTGTGCTGTGTAGTACTGTGTTAACTATTGTTGCTGGGGTTTTAGTGCTACTTTCAGGGTTTATTATATCTAATGATGGCTGCTATAAGTTTCGAATACCCTCCTAGTGCGCTATTTTTTGATAAAAAGTATTTAATTGACTTATTATAAATGTTTACTTTTTTAGCGTTTCGTCTTGGCAAAACGATTGATATGATCCATTGTGCTTTAATGGCATTAAATGAACCTGATCCCATTTTAAGAACTCTTTCTGTATCTTCACGCGCCTCTCGAGGTGCTTTTTTTTTTTGCGACATGATTGTTTGGGCGTTTAAAGCTGGAGTTCTTGAAGGAGATTTTAAAAAATGGGCGATGCGTAGTTATAAATACTGGTCTTGCGCCGTTTTCATTTGTCTTCTCAGAGATTTGTATGAACTTATCAAATTCATGGAGGCATATAAAAAATCAAAGTTAAAAGTAAAGAATAACGAGAAAGAATTATTAAAAGACATGATAAAGTATAATCCTCATGTTATGTTGGATATTGCAAGAAATATATGCGATTTGGGTGTAGCACTCAAGTTTTGGGAGAAGTTTAACATAAATGATGGCGTTGTTGGTGCATTCGGCATGATATCTTCAATATTAGGCATCCTAGAAATTATTTATCCGCATTATAAATTAAAGCTTTCTTAAATTGATTACTTTTATTAACTTGTGAAATATAGTTTAATTAAGCTTAAACTATTTTGTTTGCTATTTTTGTATTTTTGAAAATAGATTTGCTGGTGGGTGAAACATACCTGCAACCACCCTCAACAGCAATATCTCTTTTTAATTTTTTTGATTCAAATATCAGTTAAATCTTTTCTAGTTTTTTTTTTTTTTTTTTTTTTCTATTTTTTTAAATTATGTTTTAATTACTTTTTAGTAAATGATTAAACCGTGAGTTTATCGTAATTTAAGATAAAATTCAATTACGTAGTATTAATTTATAATTTCAGTACAATCCTAAACCCTCAAAATACTAAACCAAAAGCAACATAGTGTTTTAGAGTTTACTTTATTAGAAAAAAGTAATGAAAATGCTAAAAATGCATTGATTGTTAACAATTATATTTTTGTTAATAATAATGTGCAAAAATTTTAAAACGGCATTTGTAATTGGTTAACTAATGATAAAACAGTAAAATAGCTAACAGTCTTATGTTTCTGCGAAAACCTGCTATTAGATCTACTGCTATTGATATACGGCCACCATGGCCTACTTAATACACGGCCGGATATGTTGCATAAATAGACCGAAAATTAGAAGGCCAGTTTTTTGTGATTCGGCTCTGTTAGTTAATTGTTATTTTTTCATTTGGGTAGATAGTGATTATAATGGTGAATAGATGTGCAGTTGTTAATTGTTGAACTTTTTGAAAGTAAAGCTGTTTTTAGTTTTCCTAAAGATTTAGAAAAAAAATTGATAAAACTTATTAACAGGAAAAATTGGAAGCCAAGTAAATATTCAGTAATATGTTTGGATCATTTTGAACCAAAGTATTTAAAATATGGTTAATGAGTTACTTTAAGACATCAGTTAAACCCTTTTCCAACCATTTATCCTGATGAAAATTGCATTCTATCTTCAATAAAGCCTTAAGTTCCTAACTTTCGAAAACCTCCAACTGAACGAAATTCCACTATTCCAGATGAAATTCATGCATTTCAAGAAATGGATAAATAAAAAAATATTGATATGCTTCATGAATCTAACTCTCCAAATGGGTTTAGTTTTCAAAGATATGAAAGTTTTGTTTTATACAATCGTTTATTTTTTGTAGACTCCACTCCTTTAATTGAATCAATATGCATTAATATAACAATTTGCATGTAAAGTTACATTATAAAAGTTGTCTACTACAATTTCCTCAATGGTTTAGAACAATAAACAATTGTAAGCTTACAAGTTTATTTATTTTAAATAATTTGGTGTCTAATCTGCACAACCTTGTTGAAGAAAATTCCTATTGTTTAGTTAATGAACTGTCCAAATTAGTCTTCTACAAATCCAAAGGTCGTCCTCCTTAATCTTCAAAAATATTACGTTTTGCACTAATGTAAAGGTATTGTAATGATTGCGTTCTCCTTTTTTTAAATGTATTTACAGCAGTCTTGTGAATACTATAGTGGTAGATTATTTCGATAAGATACTGAAGGTAATCTCTATAAAGGAATAATTGTGTTTATGATTTTTGGTCTCAAAATATCTATCCTTTATGTAATTAAAGCTATCCCAGAGACTATGGAGATTTTATTAAAGATGAAATAGAAGAAAGTTTAAATACTTTAAGATCTGCTGGTTCTAACATTTGCGCATTGATTTCTGATAACCATTCAACTAATGTGTCAGCTCATACAAAATTAAAGAAAAACCAGAAGAAAATTTTTTCATCACTAATAAAGATCATATAATTTATTTGATGTATGACAGTGTACATTTGCTTAAAAATATAAGAAATAATTTAGTACCAAAAAGTTTGTTTTCCCACCATTTCAGTTCACTGATTACAATTTTAGTATAAATATGTATGCAGGATATATATCTTGGGGATTGCTTCATAAAGTACATGAAAAAGATGAAACTCTTTCAGCAAATTTAAGAAAGGCATCAAAACTAGGAGAAAAGACATTATATCCAGGTAACAATAAACAAGATGTCAACCTAGCGTTAAATATATTTCATGAAACAACTTCCGCAGCAATTCAAAGTTATTTTCCTAATGAAAATTTAGCATCTAAATTTCTAAAACTCATTAACCTATGGTGGGTAATATCCAATTCTAAAAGAAAGTACTCTAATCATGAATTTGGTAAAGCATCTATAATGCGGGATGGTAAGCCACAACTTTTGCGTGCATTTGCTCAATGGATTGAACAATGACAAAATTTGCAATACTGTTCCACTGATAGATATTGCCTTACAACTCTGCACTAATCTTAACATTGCAAAGTACTTCTAGTTTAATTGAAGATCCTTTATTTGAAAGTTTCAATTAAGTTCTTACCTCTCGTTTCCAAAGTGATCCATTAGAAAGACATTTTTTTAAGTACCGTCAAAATGAGTGGTGGTAGGTTTCTTGTTGGACTGCGTGTAGTAAACAATTCTAAGAATATTTTGCAAATAAGATCATTATTAAAAGAAAATTTTGATTTTTGGAAAATGAATTTAAAACCTTTTAACCCAGTTGTGAATCTAAATTCAATATCTGAACTTTTTATTAATGATATTCAGGAATATGAGTTAGATAAAAAACAGTAGTTTCTATTTTTATTGCTGGATATATATGCAGAAAATTACTTAAAAAAATTAAATGCAAATTATGTTCTTTGTTGCTAAGAACTAATATCATTGATGTAAATACAGAATATATTGAAATTTATCGAGTGGAAATCTCATAATTCCTTCAAAACTGCTGGCAAATCATGTTAGCAATTGTTTTGCTATGCTTGATGCAGTGAAAAAAAGGTTTTCTTAGTTACAATGTATTTGACAGAAAAATTTCTGAACTTTTTTTATATAAATCTAATTTAAATCAATGCATTGTTTGCAAGGATCATTTAGAATGGGGCCTTTCTCTTGTTAATCGAACAATAACAAATATTTTTTTAACAATGAACAAAAAATTCTAAGTAACGGAAAGCATAGAGATGCTGTATTATCTTTTAAAAGTAGAAAAAGGAAAAAGAAAAAAAAAGATAAGAAGTTTATGTGTATATATATATATGTAGTTTATGTTTGTATATATATCTAGTTTATGTTTGTATATATATCTAGTTTATGTTTGTATATATATCTAGTTTATGTTTGAATATATATAATTGTAATAAACTTGCTAACAGTATTTTTTTTTTAATTTTTGCATAAAAGGATCACTAAAACAAAAACTAAGATAAAAATAGTCGTTAGGAATAATGCTTATAAGGAATATACTATACTTAATGCTATTTGTTAGCAATAAGAAAAATTATTTAAATTGAAATACGAAATTTTTTTCAGTTTTACAAATTTTACAAAAAATACAATTTTTTTTTTTAATAAAATCAATCTAAAAATTTTAAATCAGTAAAAACTAATAAACTTTCAACTTGAAAATGTTCGGAAAGATTGAATTTTACTATATAAACCTTTTTAAACTAAAAACCCGAAAATTTACAATTGAAAAACTGGCCTTCTAATTTTTGGTCTGTTTATGCAACATATCCTGCCGTGTATTAAGTAGGCCATGCTGCCACCAATTAAGTTTAAGGTCTTAGTCTTTAAGTCTAATCAAGTTTTAATCCATTTAATTTTTATCCAATCTCTTCCTTTTAGGTTATGGACCAATATAATGTAAGATAATATCTGAAAACAAATCTAAAAAATAGCCACAAGTTTTAGGTCTTCCTCTCCTAAAAGCAACGTGAAATAAAGAAAGCCAAAGATAACTGTAAAAACAACTCATGTTGTTTTTTCAATGGGACGATATAAAAACGATGTAAGATGCTGCAGTAACCTAAGATCATTGGCAGGAGCACCAATTACCTCAGGAGCCAAAAACCAATATTAGACATTAACAGCAATTGGTGACAAGTACCAAACAAGTTCAACTTAATACAAACAAAATTAAAAAAAAAACGCTTTTGATAGAGTACGTTTCCGCCACCGATTCATTTTATTGGACTTCCTCCAATAAAATGAACCTTCTTCTTCAGACGAATTATGCTAAAGTTTGAGAAACTCTACTTCCAAAAAAAAACTTCCGTTATCTGTAGTACACACAATATCATTGCTTTATCTTTTTGGTACTGCAAACTTATCCTATCAAGGAGTTACCTAAAATCAATTCAGTCTGTCACAAGGGGTGCGACAAGGGTCTATTCCATCGCCGCATTTATACAATATTTATACTGAAAGTATCCTGAATAAAATAGTCTCAGAATGTAAAGTAGGAACAACAATAAATTACATTTATACTAGTTTAACTGCATACGCTGATGATGTAATTTTGTTAAGTTCTACAATTTCTGGTCTGCAAGAGCTGGTTAACACATTTAAAATATAGGTAACAAACCTTATCAAACTAAACACTGAAAGCGTAAACTTATACTTTCTGCATTTATAATTTCAAACTTCTCATCCTGCCCACTTATATGGATGTTTCACAGTAAAAAACTAAATAATCGCATAAATCGAATCCATGAGAGAGCTTTAAGAATTATCTACAGAGACTATGAATCTTCATTTGAAACTCTCTTATTAAACAGCGGTACTTTAACTATACACCAAAAAAACCTGCATTGTTTAGTCACGGAGATTTTCAAAGTAAAATCACAATTGCGTCTATATCTATGAATGAAGTTTTTAAGTTACTCAAATCAAATCTGAGATATGAAAAGCCAAACTCCACCAATATTATACATCAAAACATAGATTAGAATCTCTATCATCCCTAGGACCGAAAATTTGGAAACTAATCCCGAATGAATACAAAACATTTTCATCTTTGAAGGATTTTAAACTTATAATAAAAAACCGGATTCCCAAGCAATGCCTATGCAAATTATGCATGGTTTTTATTAAAGATGTCGGATCATTTATAAGCTAATGTAAAATGAAATCCTTATATTTTTGTTGGTTTTTGCCACTCTAGTAGGCTTCTCGTTTTTTTTATTTTATTATTTTTTTCAATTATTTTTTTAATTATTTATTGCTGTTAATGTGTTTATCGGTTATATTACAATATATATTTATAACAATGTTTATTTTTGAAGGATAAGTGTCAGCTGACTTAAATTAGCCAATTATAGAGCTATCAATGTAACAACCATATGTGTCAACTATAAAT